TTATCACATTTCCATTCGGTGAAAAATCTCTGTATTGGATGTACGGATTGCAAAAGTATCATTACTTAAATTAAAGAGTTTTAGAGTCCATATCTTGTAAATAAGCGTGCAGCTGAGGTCACATTATTGGAACGAACGATACCGAGTTTGTAGAACTAAGATTGAAAGTCTAGAAAAGAAATATTTCCACCGAATAGAAAATACGTGTATACAGGTGCTTTGCGAAGACTGAGACTGTCAACAGAGCCGAAATTCCGTGTAGCAGTAGTTGCGCGGTCTTGCGATAGTGGTGCTGGCATATGTTAGATAAGAACAGATGTATGCGTTTGAGTAAGACAGAATGATATATATTATGGTATATAAGATAATGTAAAAATTAAATCAAAGATGTCACCACTATTATCGAATTTAGAATTTAAAAAGTCTGTACTATCGATCTTGATCGAGTTGGGTAATCGGTTTAGCATCCCCTTAAGATCCGATAATCTCGATCTGACGCAACTCTCCGGCTCACGTAAAGGAGGCACGGCAGTGTCGGTGCTCTTTGGTTTAGCGCCGAGACATTACCAGTGTCTCCAAATACCGGCGGCAACAATAGATACAAGTTTTAGAGAAAGATCTGAAAATTCATTATTCACTTCAAATCGTTACACTTTAGTAAAACAAATTGTAGCGTAATAATTAAGAAATAATTTTAAATAGAAAATATTTTAAGCTCTGTACGGTACAATTAAAAAAACTTGCAGAAAAAATTTGTTTTGTCCGTGCACGTCAAAGTTTATTCTTCAATTCTACAAGGTTTAATTTATATTAGCGTCGTTCGTAATAAAATTTTTGCAGAGAAATATGATTCGAAGCATTCGAAAATTATATCTTAAGCTTTAAGACGCTTTACCAAATATTGTTTCGCGATCATTTTTCATGGAGAGCCGTGAATTTTAATTTTGATCGTTTTTAATACAGATTTTAAATGATCTTTTAATCATTTGTTCAGAAGTAGACAAACTTTAAGATAGAGGAACTTCGTCAAAAATCGTCATAAAGAGATTTTTAAAAAAGCATTTTAAAGCTTGAAATCTCTATTTTCGAAATCGGTAATTGAAATATTTCGATATGACTGATTTTTACGGAGCTATACAAACCGAAACGGATATCCGTCAAATCTGAAAATTTTATACAAATTTTACAAAGGTAATTGTGTTAAGAAGGGCTACGAGCTAAAACAACAAATTTTAATGTACAGGGTGTTGCACCAACATACAGATCAGTATGACGGGTTGCCCATTCGTGCAGGCGCGCAAGATCGTTCACAATTGCGTAGACTTCGGCGGCACAATCATAGCACACCCTTTTTTCGAATAAAGTTCGTAGCATATCAAATTGTGATGCAATTATGACGAACTTCCGTAGGAATAGGTTAAAACAGAAGCCGAAGTGACAAGATATAGGTTATAAAAACGAATTTTATCGTGAAAACGAAGTATGTTCTCCTTCTTGTAAAAAAAATTTGGTCATAGTCGAATGTAATCATTGTGTAATATAATTTGATTGTTTGAATTATTTTTACGTTTTGTCGATATTAAAATGGCACTTAAGTAGAAAAATTTATAATGATACTACAGTAAATCTAGATTGTTACAGTAAATATCACAAATATAAATAACGATAAAAATGGTTATAGGCGGATCTTCTACCTAATTTATTTTGGAATGTTAACACTTTATTATTAATTAATAGTCAATTTAATATATGATGATAAGCAGATTTATATAAATAATGCTACAATAACACATGTAAATCTACAAAAGACTTATTAATGAAAAATGTTCATTAAACGTAATGTTAAATTACATCTTATAAAACTTACCAATTTGCATATTCAATGTATACAACATTTTTTAGTAATAATCTTCTTGGAGTTTTATAAAATATAAATATAATATGCAGTCATTTATATGAAGAATTGCATAATACTTATTAATAACAGTTTATTAAATAATCAATTTAATAATGAATTATTATTCTTCCAAATAAATATTATAAGATTTAACGATAATTGCCGTTATTTAAATTTACAGTGAATTAAATTTATTTATCGATTTATGATTTAAATTTGCAAAGATACATTTATTTCTGACTTTCGTTCTCTGTAAAAATAATTCTAACAATCAAATTATATTACACAATGATTACATTCGACTATGATCAAATTTTTCTTACAAGAAGGAAAACATGCTTTGTTTTCACGATAAAATTCGTTTTTATAACCTATATCTTGTCACTTCGGCTTCTGTTTTAACCTATTCCTGCGGAAGTTCGTCATAATTGCACCACAATTTGATATGCTACGAACTTTATTGGAAAAAAGGATGTGCTATGATTGTGCCGCCGAAGTCTACGCAATTGTAAATGATCTCGCGCGCCTGCACGAATGGGCAACCCGTCATACTGACCTGTATGTTGGTGCAACACCCTGTACGTAATATGATACAGATAACATTAAATATAAATAAAAATTAAAATAAAGATAAAAATATGTCTACATAAAACTAATGTTTCGACTCCGATTGGGTCATTTTAAAAATTAAAAAAATAATATATATAAAACGGTTAACTAAAAATAAGCTAACAAAAGATGACTATTTATAGATATTCGATGACAAAAAAGATGATCAAAAGTGGACTTTGGTAATTTAGACCATGAATTCAAATTTAAAGATATCACTGATTACATGTAGTCAACGGAAAGTAGATCCTAGATTTTCGCTATGATTTGATTTCAAAAAGTATTGTCAAGCATAAATATCGCTGATAATGCCAATTTATTAATTAATCCTTCTAATGAAAAGTTAATCCGGATTCTATAGATATAATAGTGAATTGTGTAAGTATTAAAATGTACAAAAAATGTAATTACCAGCAATGAACGTGAATTGCATAAAATAATATGTATAATATGTGTTTGTGTTTGTGACGCGCTGGTGTCACCTTGTAATGGAAGGTGCGTGCGCCAAAGCGGCGTGTAATGACGACGATTCTCTTGGTTTGAGTAATTAACGTTTATTTTAACTAAAGTCATAGAAATGTTCGAAGCGGGCTATAGGCGCAAATTTCATGACAGCAATTGATGCACGCGCTTAACTACGTGCACCGGTAATACACACTCGGAGCAACGTCCCGTAATTGATCTCAACTCAAACGGAATGTACAGGGCGCGCCGTGACGAGACCGAAGATGTTCGTTAGCTACTTAGATGATTTTCGCGCACTTAATAACTTTTACAGCTTGCCTATCTCGCTAATCTTATGCAAAGCGGCAACGGAGATGCGCGATGCGGTAATTCGGCTTG